GGTCACTACGCTTTGTGCCAGATGCTACGTGCCATTATTTAATTTAAGCCATCTTGCTATCTTCTGGGAGCAGGAATTGTACCCATTTCACAGACGAGCAAACTGAGGCTACTAGGCTAGATACCTTGCTAGGGACTGCAGAGCTAGTACATGATGATTCTTCCCCCAGCTCCCGGTGACCTATCACTTGTCTGTGGTGGGTTTCCTCCGAATTCCTTCTAGGGAGAGCGGGTGGGAAAGAAAGGAAGCAGTTCGGTGAACAGGTCTGGCAGCAGGTGCTGTGGCCCGGAGCCCTGTTGTTGGCCCTGAGTGGGGGCTTTTAGCAGAAGGAGACCTGCCCGGGCCTAATTCCTAGTCCGGAGGGATGTCTGTCTGTCTGTGCTTCTTGGAGACAGGGTTGGTGGGTACCGCCCATCCATCATCATGCAAGGTGGGGCCGGAGGGCTCCCACCCACAGTGACCTTAGGCGCTGTCCCCCTGAAAGATCGCCTTGGCCCTTTTCAATCTGACGCCGCGTGTAGGGGCTTTCCAGGTGGCGGCGGAGACGGGCAGGGCCTGGCGTCCGGCGCTTGGCCTCGAGCCCAGGGAGAGACCCTGCAGAGCCAAGCAGGACCTCGGGGAGCCTGAGGGGAGTGGCCCCCTGAGTGTGGGCTCCCAGTGGCGCCTGGCGGGGGCGGGGGGTGGGGGCACCAGCCAGAGCATTCCCAACCAGGGCACCCCCCCCACCCCTCCCTCCAGCATACAAAGTGGCGTGTGCGGCTGCAACTGCTTTCTGGAATGAGCCATGCGGTCTGCATGCTGTGGACTTGAACCCTTAGACACAATGTCTTTAGGAAGGAGGAGGGGGGTGAGGAAGTAATCGTGGGCATCAGACGCTTCCCCATCCCGGCTACTCGTCTGCCGCTGGCTTTGTGCCATTTCAGGACGGTCCCTCGACCCCTGTGGCTTCAGCCTCCTCCTTGGTAAAGTGAAGGTGGTGACACTGGCGGTGGCCAGTGGGACGCTGTGACTCTGGGAGAGAGTAGCCTGGTGGGGGGCAGGGCAGCCGTGCGTGGCCTGGCGGGTGAGTGGGACTGTGAGCTCGGAAGGGCAGGCCTGCGTCTGTTTGTTCATGACCATGCCCCCGACTCGTCACACAAGAGGGCCTTGTCCGCGGAACTGCTGTAGGTACTGTCACTCTGCTCAGTGCTGAGAACCTAGTACGGGAAGCCACCTCGAGTGAGTCCCTGTTTCAGACCGTGCTTCCTGGAGCTCAGACGGTGTTTGAGGGTGGGCACGGGGGCACGGGGCTGTAGAGCCCCACGGTGGGCTGGGGGAGGCCGGGAGGGGGGAGGCTGGGGGGGGGCGTCAGGCCCTTACCCTGGTTTTATCCGAAGCGCACATCAGCTTTTTTTGGTTCTTCTCTAAATCTGTTTTTCTATATCGAGATTCCTTTTACAGTTTCTTCTAGACAAACAGGTTCTAGAACAAAAGCTTGAAAAGCTCCTTGGTTCAGGCAAACGAGAATAGGGTGCAGGCTGGTCCTGGACTGGCCCAAGTCAGCAGAATTGGGCTGAAAGCAGTCAGCTGCCTCTCTGCCCCTGGTAGGCTGAGCCCCGGTGGCTGGGGTCAGTGTGTGGGGGGGTGTTCAGGGTGCAGGGAATGCCTCTGTAGCCAGGGTTTGGGCAGCCGTGGGTAGTGCGGGGCGGCGACCCCAGAAGGTCGTCTGGGGAGCCCTCCCTGCATGGACATTTGCACTTATTAACCGCAGGCTGTCTGGACCCACAGCATCCCCGCTCGGCACAATTAGTACTAGAAGCTTCCCCTGCTTTATCCAGTGAGTGTCCCTGCAGACGTCTGAGTCCCAGGCACGTGTGCAGCCCCAGCGCTATTGACAGAGCGGCCAGATAATCGTGCCGCAGGAACCATCCTAGGATGACCAGTAGCATCTCCCGGCCATGACCGTCGAAAATGTCCTTAGACATTGCTAAACGTCCCCTGGGGGACAGAATCGCCTGTTTGTCTAGAGAAACGCTGTGATAGTTCTTCATGGCCTCACCTGAGCCCCCCACGGCCCCCCAAGGGCTCTCAAAAGCCGTAATTCTCCAATACTCGATATTTAAGAGAGGCTGGCCGGTTTCCGACCTGCTCCCTCATGTGGGCTGGGAAGCTGAGCCGTAGGGAAGGCAAGGAGGGGTGTGGGGTAAAGAGGAACCCATGACGTTTAGGAACCCATGACGGCTGGGATCAACCTCTTTTCTGTCCCGAAGGCGAATGAGGAAGCCTGTGGAGGCTGAGATGTGATCACAGCGTCTGGAAGGCAAGAGCTGGCCGCGCTGGACGGGACTGTGGCGTACGCCTGAGGCCATATACATGTGGATGTGTTTAAAGCCACTCTTGTGGTTCAGTGATGATTTAAGAGCGAATTTAAACACAACATTACTGTTAAGCTGCATAAAACCTGTTCATGTAATCAGCGAGCGAGCTGTGGCCCAACTTTGGGAACGAGAGGTGAGGCTCCCTGTCCCGGGGAGCCCACAGCTGGGGCTGCTCTGCCTGAAGGAACCCCCCCTTCCCCCCGCTTACACTCTCATCATGAAAGGGGACACTGCCAGAGCCCTGGGCTTCTGGAAGCTTCCTCAGGTTGTGTAGGCGAGGTGTCCCACGGGCCAGGGCCTCGGGACCATGAACACGCTGAATTCGCAAGGCCGACAGACCTCTGCTTTTCATGCCTCCGGGGTGGCAGCCGTCCAGGAATGCTCGCAAATATAAAACCGACTTTGTTTTCAGAATGTTCTGGAGCATAGACTCCAAAGGCTGCATAAAGGCATTCTTGTGGGGCTGGTTATCTCCTGGGGAAAATCGTGCTGGGGCCCCAGATCGGAGCATCTCAGGGGATCCGCCCACGGAATGCCATGTGTTGGCCCAGAGGGTGGGTGCAGGGTGGCCCTCGCTCTGTTGCCGGCTGACCTCCAAGAGGGGCTTCACCGGGAGGGTTCTCCGGGGGTCCTAGGAGTCGGGCCTCCAGAGGAGCCCTGGGCTGGAAAGCCCACAGGCTTGCGCCCTCTCTCTGGGGTGCTGGGGAAACTCCGGGGCTGGGGCCCCCCAGCCCAACGCCCCCCGGAAAGTAGCAACGCGAGGGCTTCGGTCGGGCTGGTTTTCAGCAGCTTTCCTGAGGCTGGGGGTCTGGGTCTGGGCCCTGGGGGCCCTCAGCCTCCGCTCTGTCACTGACTCCTCTCGCCTTCTCCCACCTTGCCCTGCCTCTGCCCGCGGCACCTCAGCACCTTCTGGGTTCTTCGCGCCTCGCGCTGGCGTTGGGGGGCACTTCATTCCTCTAGTCTGATTCCTGGGCTCCAAGAACAAACGCCCGTGCCTCCCGCTTCCAGATGAAGTGCCCAGGGGTACGCTCCGTGCATGTCGCCACCCAGAGTCGGCTCCCCAGGGAGTCCGTCGCGCTGGCTGTCCACACCCTGCCCCTGCCCAGCTCTGCGGAGGCCACCTGCCCATGTTAGAGCCAAGCAGCACCTTCTCTGGCCCACCCTGCTCGCCCGCTCCCGCTCCCCTCCCACTTCCCCATCCCCGTTCCCACCCTTCCTCCTCCTCCCCCCTGCCCCCGCCCTGCTCACCGGCTCCCGCTCCCCATCCCTGCTCTCGCCCCCTATCCCTGCTCTCCATCCCTCACCCCTGCTCCCCCACCCCTGCCCCTCCCTTCCCTCCATCCTTTCCCCCCACCCCTGCTCCCCATCCCTGCTCTCACCCCCTACCCTGCACCCTTACCCCACACCTGCTCCCTCATCCCTGCCCCCATCTTACTTCTCTCATCCCTGTTCTTACCCTTCATCCTCCTCCCCCCTGCCCCCAACCCTGCTCACCCGCTCCTGCTCCCCATCCCTGCTCTCACCCCTCACCCCTGCTCTCCCACCCCTGTCCCCTCCCTTCCCTCCATCCTTTCCCCCCACCCCTGGTCCCCATCCCTGCTCTCACCCCCTCCCCCTCCCCCCTTGCCCCACCGCTGCTCACCCATCCCTGCCCCCATCCTGCTTCTCTCATCCCCATTCTCACCCTTCATCCTCCTCCCCCTGCCCCCTCCCCCACCCTGATCTCCAATCCCCACTCTCACCTTCCGTCCCTCACCCCCTGCCCCCCCCCCGCTCTCCCACCCTCTGCTGCCTTGAAAGTGCTTTCTCTCGCCGAGCCCCCCTGAATGTTCGGTCCTCTCAGACCCCTTGAGCTTGAGGCGTTCCCCGGCCTGGGCCCGGCCTCGCCAGCACGTAGCAGAGAGCCCTGCACACAGGTGGATGCGGTGGTGTCTGTCTGGCCACCCCCTTCTTAGGGCGATTTTGAGGATGAAGGGAGATGATGCTTGCGCCAGGCCTGCACGTGGGAGCCTCCTATGACTTTCTATTTGTCTGTCAACCCGAGGCTGCCTGACTTGGGGATCAGTGAGGGGCGCCTCCTAAAATGCGTCGAGGTGCACCCCTAGTTGTTTGTCTTTGCTTCCGTCACCCTGGCCTGAGGAGGCACCCCAAAATACCGCTTAGACCAACATCAGAGAGCTTACTGCTTACTTGCTCCGTAGCGGCGTAGGCAACACGGTCAATAATATAGTAATAACTTCGTGTGATCATTTCCTAATGTATAAAAATACCCAGTCACTCTCTTGCACACCTGAAACAAATGTCGTATTGTCTGTCAATTACAGTTTAATGATAAAAAGAAATACTGTGAGAAGTGTCCTGGGGGTGGGGGTGGGGCCCGGGGACTGGCTTTGAATGTCAGTCCATCCGTTTCATCAGAAGCGCGGTTACACCTATGAGCCTTGGTTTCCTGTTCCGGGAAATCCACCTCCTTGGCCCTGATGCGAGACTGGCCCATGCCATGGGGCTGGGGGCCTTGGGACTGTCACGTGCTTGCAGGGGCTGGGGGCTGCAGGATGGGGCTCTTTCCCTGGCCTCGCATTTGCCTCCCCTGGGAAACGTCTCTGGCAGAAGCGCTGACGCATGGCCTCTCTTCCCTTGCAGGCAGGTGACAGCAGGGACATGTCCCGGGAGCTGCAGGATGTGGACCTCGCCGAGGTGAAGCCTCTGGTGGAGAAAGGGGAGGTGAGTGGAGACGCTCCCGGCTACCCCCCTTCCCTGCACACTCACACGTATACGCGGAATCCGAGCACATGTACACGTGCGCAGGTGCCCACGGGCCCACGGCCTCCTGGCGTCTGAGAACGCAAAAGCGCAAGAGGCACCTTGTCGTTTCACGTCAAGGAGGCCTCCCTGTCGGAAACAGAAGCCCCTGGCCTCCATCGTGGGCTTGCACTGTCCATCCTGGACTGGAAAAGCCTTTATGTTTGTGCAGTTGGCGTTGTACTTTAAACCCATCCATATGCTAGTCCTTACGGAGCTGTGTCGGTGCCTGTGATGATACATCTTTTTATTTATTTATTTTTTAAAATAAATCTTTAAATGTCTATTTATTTTTGAGAGAGAGAGGAGAGAGACACACAGAGAGAGAGAGAGAGAGAGAGAACATGTGTGGGGGAGGGGCAGAGAGAGAGGGGACACAGAATCGGAAGCAGGCTCTGAGCTGTCAGCACAGAGCCTGAGGTGGGGCTCGAACTTGCAGACTGTGAGATCATGACCTGAGCCGAAGTCGGACTCTTCACTGACTGAGCCACCCGGGCACCCCATGATGCATCTTTTTACGAACATAAGGCTCAGTCTCAAAAGTGAAGTTATTCTGAGGCCAACTAAATGCTTTCAAAAATAATAATAAACAGCGTGAGCCACGCACGTCTTGAATGCCCGCCGCTGGGCTATCCTTCGTGGGTTATCTCGTGCTAACCGAAGGGATAAGACTACATTTGGTTAGATGCTAGGCTCTGTGACTGCTCCCATTTTACAGGCGAGAACGTGAAGTCTCAGGAAGTTGATTTGACCTCTGTCGCGTCGTTACAAAGTGTGAGGCATGGAGCCAAACTCTGGCCAGCTGCCTTTGGTGAATGGACTGTTCATTCAGTTCCTTATGACTCTGCGTGTGGCTGCTCTGTTTTAGGCCCATTACTTGGTGGACTTTTCATTACGAATGTGGGAGGCAGTCCTCTCTATTCCCATTTTACAGATACAGAAACTGGTCTGTGACGGGAAAGGAATTATCCAAGTTCGTTCAGATCAGAGGCACGACAAGATTAGAAGCCAGGCCCCCTGAAGCTGCAGAATCCTTGTTACCATCCTGCACGAGGGGTCTGCACGTGACTTGTGCAAAGAGCCAAACAGTAAATGCCTCAGTCTTTGCACGCCATTCAATGCGTTGCAACTACTCAGCTTTACAGTTACACTAAGAAAGCAGCCGTAGACAGTATGTGAACAAACAGGCTTGCTGTGTTCTAATAAAACTTTATTTACACAAATAGGGGAGGGCCATGATTTGCTGATCCCTACTGTGTACTGTCCATGCTCCAAATCCATTCCTCTTCCATCTGAGTCTATGCCAGTCTTAAAAAAAAAACCAACCGACCAACCCTAAGTAATACAATACAAATCAATATGTTCTTAACTTCTCCCTCTTAAAAAGTCATACTAAATAGTACAGCACACTTTGCTTTAGTCACTTAACGAACTATCTTGGAGACCTTTCCATCATCAGCTCCCACTTTTCTCTTTCCATTTCACAGCATCTCACCAACTTTATTTGAGCAGTGCCTTGTCTCGACGTGTGGGTCCTTCTGACCCTTTGCTGTTAACCAGCAGCGCTGATGGGTATTTCCGACACTTGGACCTTGGATGCAGGTTATTCTTACGTGTGCAGGTGCAACTCTAGGATAAATTCTCAGAAGTGGAATCTCAGTCCAAGGGCAAATGCATTTTTAAACATGGTATTTATATTTTTCAGGCAGCCTCCTGGTATCCTTGGAAAATTTTATTTTCATAACAAACATCTAAGAGGTTATCAACTGCAGGTTACCTGTCTATCTCTAAGTGAATATTTGCCTTTTCTTTCAAGGTTTCGATAGAAGTAAATCTTCCAATTCCTTGGACTGACTGAGCAAAGTATTTTTAAAAAAAAGTTTTAATGTTTATTTGTTTTTGAGAGAGAGAGAGACAGGGTGAGAGTCGGGGAAGGACGGAGACAGAGGGAGATACAGAATCTGAAGCAGGCTCCAGGCTCTGAGCTGTCAGCACAGAGCCCGATGCTGGGCTTGCACTGTGAGATCATGACCTGACCTGAAGTCTGTCACTTAACCAACTGAGTCCCCCAGGCTCCCCTCAGCAAAGTGTTTTTTGTTTTGGTTTGGTTTTTTAAAATTTATTTTTGAGACAGAGCACGAGTTGGGGAGGGGCAGAGAGAGAGGGAGACACAATCTGAAACGGGCTCCAGGCTCTGAGCTGTCAGCACAGAACTGGACGTGGGGCTCGAACCCACGAACCATAAGATCATGACCTGAGCCGAAGTTGGATGCTTAACGCACTGAGACACCCAGGCGCCCCAGCAAAGTGTTTTTTAATTAGAATTGCTTTGGGAAGTTCTTCCTGATATCTAGCCTCAATCTGGAAAGCTGCTACACTCTTGTTGATGCTTTAAAGATTGGGGTTATACAGAATGGCTTTTTTGCTCCCTCCTAACAACGTGCACATGTATACAGGTGGACATTGGCCACGTTTGCTTCTACCTGAACTTACCAGCCTCCTTGATGTCCTTAGTCCAGCCCAGGGCGTGTGAAGCCAGTTTAATCCCCAGCAGCAGGGCATTTATTGCAGTCTGGTCGCCCAGCCCCACTGTCCCAAGGGGACTCCATGCATATTTCCTTCCCCTCTTTTGCATTTCGCTCTGCTGGGCTGTCTTCTTTCCTGGTGCCTGGAGATGGGGTCAGGCTGAGGCTCAGTTTTCAGAGGATCCATCTCTGGGCCAGAAGGAAAACATGCCGGCATCGTCTCTTGGAAATGCTGGCCACGTGTGGCTCCACTTCCTCCTCAGAGCCACGTTTTCACTGATCCCCAGGGGACAAGGACAACCATGGAAGAAATTTAAGGACAGTGACACGGTCAGGTGTGAGTTTGAAAGTATAACACGTGGGTGGAGACAGGGAGACTAGTTAATAGGAAATGACATTCTTGTATCTCTCAAGCTTGTGGCCGGCTTAGACCTTCGGATCTTTTTTCACCAAGGCTGTAGTCAGCAAGGAATCTGGTTAATGTGTCAACTTTTCTGCTGGATTGCTGTTCTTTGAGATGAAAAGAGAAGTCCCTTCAGAAATCGGAGAGGCCCCACAGAGGAGGGGGTAGATATAATCTCAGGGCTTGGAGAGGCCCTGTATTCCAACATTATTTCCTCCCCCCCCCCGCCCCCACCCGAAACTGACAAAACTGACCATCCATCTGTCTTGTCTCCCCACAGACCATCAGCGGCCTTCTGCAAGAGTTTGATGTTCAGGCAAGTAGAGGGAGTGTTTTCCCGCCCCCTTCCCTGCCCTGTCTTTTCTGGTTCTTTCTTCTTTTCATGGCCAAAGAGCATTGTTTGGACCCTGGGGGCAGGGGAGGGAAGGAAGTTGCGTCCACTGCTTCTCCACACTCCGCTCTGCTCCTTCTCCCCGGAAAGAAGCTGGTTTGAGTTCTGGCCAAGGAGGCAGGAGCCCATCCCCCCGTGAAGGCTGGAAGGAGAGGCTGAGGTGTGGGGCCTATGCGGGAGGGAAATGGGGAGCAGTTGGGTGGGCTTCTTGGGAAGCTCAGCAAAGGCTTAGTGTTCTTGGCTCTGCTTGGGAAAGAGAACCCAGCCTTCTCTGTGGTTTACCGGCTCCATCCGCACCCGGGGTTGGCGCAGGCAGTGGGGGTGTGCCTGGAGTCTTGTCCAAGAACAAGTTTTCAGGAGAGCGAGCTGGCTGGTCTTGGCAGAGGGGAGGGTCGGAACCCCAGGAACTGTAAGCCCTCGACTCATTATCTCAAGGCCAACATGGGTCCCACGCCATGGGGGACCCTGCTGTCATGTGTCCTGGTCAGTGCTGGATCAATAACACACCTGATCTACTCAGTCTATTTTGTTTCCAAATTTTCTTTTCTTTTCCTTTCCTTTCTTTTCTTTTCTTTACTTTTACTTTTTCTTTTCTTTTCTTTTCTTTTCTTTTCTTTTTTCTTTTCTTTTCTTTTCTTTTGGTGGTGAAATACACACAACACGACATTCAACACCACGACCATTTTTAAGTGGTTCAGTGGCACGAAGAATATTTACAATGTTGGGCTACCATTGGCACCATCCGTCTCCACAGCTGTTTCCATCTTGCAAAACTGAGAGTCTGCCCCCATTAAACAACTCATTCCCCATGGCCCCTGGCCACCGCCCTTGCACTAAGTGGCGTCATACAGTGTTTGTCTTGTTGTGATTCGATTATTTCCCTTAACAGAATGTCTCCAAGTTTTACCCGTGCTGTGGCACATGTGTCGATGTCCCTTGGGTTTCAAGGCCGTATCATATTCCATTGTATGTAAAGACCACATTTGGTTTCTTCATTCGTCTGTCAGTGGGCACTGACTGCCTCCACCTTTTGGCTGGCATGCGTAGTACGAACATGGGGTACGCATGTCGCTCAGAAGCGGAATTGTTCGATCATGTGATGACTGTAGCTGTTTCAAAGCTTGGTCATTGATTTGGAGAAATCTGGTAAGCATAGTTTATCTGTTTGCTGTGAAGATAAGAAGATAATTCCTTTTCTTTTTTTATTTTTAATTTTTTTATTGTTTTTTTATTTATTTCTGAGAGAGAGAGAGACAGCATGAGCAGGGAGGGTGAGAGTGAGAGGGAGATATAGAATCCGAAGCAGGCTCCAGGCTCTGAGCTGTCAACACAGAGCCCGACACGAGGCTCAAATCCACAAACTATGAGATCATGACCTGAGCCAAAGTCGGACGCTTAACCAACTGAGCCACCCAGGTGCCCTCTTTTTCTTTCTTTCTTTCTTTCTTTCTTTCTTTCTTTCTTTCTTTCTTTCTTTCTTTCTTTCTTTCTTTCTTTCTTTCTTTTTTAATTTTTAATGTTTTATTTATTTCTAAGAGAGAGAGAGAGACAGCATGAGCAGGGNTTTATTTATTTCTGAGAGAGAGAGAGACAGCATGAGCAGGGAGGGTGAGAGTGAGAGGGAGATACAGAATCTGAAGCAGGCTCCAGGCTCTGAGCTGTCAGCACAGAGCCCGATGTGGGGCTCGAACCCACAAACCGCGAGATCATGACCTAAGCGAAAGTCAGACGCTTAACCGACTAAGCCACCCAGGCGCCCCTCTTTTTTTTTTTTTTTTTTTAACATTTATTCATTTTTGAGAGACAGAGAAGAGCATGAGTGGGGGAGGGGTAGACAGACAGACAGAGAGAGAGAGGGAGACACAGAATCCGAAGCAGGCTCCAGGCTCTGAGCTGTCAGCACAGAGCCTGACGCAGGGCTCAAACTCATGGATGGTGAGATCATGACCTGAATTGAAGTCAGATGCTTAACCGACTGAGCTACCCGGGCGCCCTGATAATTCCTTATGTTTCTGTCACTCTGGTAGTTTGCAAAGCGCTGTTAGGTGCTCTGATCTGGAGGCACAAGTGGTTGGTAGAGCGGAGAATGGGACCTCTGGCCCCACCTGCTAGCCCAGGCCCACCCTCTATCCTTGGGGTCAATGGTGGTGCCCAGGCTACAGTTTCCCAGGCCAGGGGTAGGTGAGGGCACTGCCCCTCATGGCATTAGCCAAGTGGTGACCGTGAAGGGAAGCCTCGGCGAGGGGCTGGGAGAGGCGGGATGAGGTCCACGCGCATGGTGCACCGGGCTGGGCCGGGCTCTTGTTAAATCCCAGAGCTGCCCTGTGAGGTGGGAGCATGTTCCTGATTGCAGATTCCTTTGTCCCTTTCACAAATGCCTGCTTTGTGCCTGGCATTGTCTTAGGTGCTGGGGACACAGTGGGGAGCGTGACAGGCAGTGATCCTTGTTTTCAGGAACTTACATTCCACACTAATCGCTCAGCACTATGGAGCCTGGATATATGCTGGCACCATTTGGAGTGCCTGGCGTGTGTGGTTCATAAGCGGCCCCGTCTCCATTTTGCAGAAGGAGAACCCAAAGCACAGAGAGGTTAAGCAACTTGCCCGCAGTCTCAGGGGCAGAAAGGAAGAAAGCTGGGGTATGAACCCAGATGGTGTGTTTCCAGAGCGTGTGTTTATTTTATTTTTTTAATTTTTAATTTTTATTTAAAAAATTTTTTTTTTAAATGTTTTATTTATTTCTAGGAGAGAGAGAGACAGCGTGAGCAGGGGAGGGTCAGAGAGAGAGGGAGTCACAGACTGAAACAGGCTCCAGGCTCTGAGCTGGCAGTCAGCACAGAGCCCGATGCGGGGCTCGAACCCACGAACCGCGAGATCATGACCTAAGCGAAAGTCGGATGCTTAACCGACTAAGCCACCCAGGCGCCCCATAGAGCGCGTGTTTAAAACCACTGCTTCTGACTCCCCAGAAGCGGCGGAAAGTTAACACACAAATGCCATGCCGGCTACCGTGGGGGCTTTGAGAACAACAGCTCACGCCGTGGTGCTGGGGCACCGTCTTGGGTTGAGGGGGTCAGGGAAGGCTGTTGGAGGAGGTGACGTTGAACCTGAGAGCTAAATGGTAGACGGAGCCAGTCATGTGACCAGGAGAAGCTTAGGGGCCGATCATCCCATACAAAGGCTCCATCACACGCGCCTCCCCCCCCCCCCCCCCCCCCCCCCCCCCCCCCCCCCCCGGTTGGATTCTGAGCCTTCTGAGGGTGAGCTGAGATCTTCTCTAAGCTAAGAGGCCCAATCTTACCAGGGAACCACAATATTTGAGCTGAATCTCCGTGCTGAACGACACTCTTTCAAGGTTGTTTCCCAAAACATATCTTCGTATAAAACTATATTCATTCGCATAGGGCTCCTAAAGCTGGTTGACTCATGATGTTTATGAAGGCTTCCCTCAGCTTTCTAGCACTTTCCAGAAGCGTGGGTGTGGGCTGCTGGAGGATTTTCCTTCAGAAGATGCACTGCACTGATCTGTCTGCATCCTGATGAGTCCCTGACCACAGGCGCAGAGGAGGACAATGACTGGAGCCATGGTCAGGGGTGGCTGCAGGCTGGGCCACCAAGGGGACTCAACAGGATTTACACGAGGCTCCGATAGGACTTTGTGGTTCTCTGTTGAGCCAGGCCAGGGCCCAGGGCTTCCCCCATGTTCTCTTGCGGATTCTTCTGGGACCTGTACCATCATCCCTACTTGACAGATGCGGAAACTGAGGCTTTCCGACAACCGGCAGTCATGAAGGGGGCCCCATCGAACCAACTCGGTCTGACCTGACCGTTTTCCTCAATTACTGCAGCGATAAACGCGGAAGGGCCAGTCTGAGCAGATTCCGGCACCCCTTTGCAATTCCTATCGAAAAAAAAAAGTCTGGCTGGGTAAATCATCTGAACAATACTTCGGTGGGCTGACGTTAGCCTATTGAAGGTAAACTGATGTGAGACTTGGGCGCGGATGTGCCTTAGTGACAAACTGCTTTCATTTATATAATTTCATCTATATATCATTTAGTTGGTTCTCTACCAAATGGGGTAAGGCTCCTTGGCTCCTTGAAATGGGGAGCCGTTCCTTGGGGGTCAAGGTTAAGGAGTCTGAGCAGCCTTTCCGTGTGTGTATCCAAAAGCGGCCAGTGTTACTTCTTGAAAAATATTTGGTGCCTCAGCATTTTGACTAACTCAAGCAGATTCTTTGTTCTTTTCCTGAAGTACATTTTTTTTCTCCCTGAATCAAAACACTCACCGTCGCCCAGAGCTGAGCGGCCAGAAGCGGCTGGAGGGTCTGCTGGCCGAGGTGCTGGGCTCCCCGGCTCAGGAGCAGGCTCATGTGTGAGCGGAAGGCCTCGTGGCCTCCTCTCTTCCTGGCTGACGTCATCTCGCGGTCAGCGGCTCGCTTTGGCCTCGGGGATGTTTTGGGGGAAGTGGACTGGTACCCAGGCATGTGAGGTTGTGACCTGCCCGTGGGACCCCACTGCACGCGCCTTTCCTGGAGACCCTCTTGGGCCCTCGGGGCACGGGGCTGGGTAGGCTGCTGGGCTTCCTGCTGGATTGCAGGCAGGATGCACGACCATGTGAATTTGCAGAGAAGTTCCTGGCCTCAGGATCTAGGTAGCTGTGTTTGCAAATTTGGTGAGTGGGGTGGGTGGGAGTGTTTTGGGTTCCAGCTTCCTTTCTTTGGCTAGAATCCTAGAATCCAAGAATCTCAGGGCTGGCAGCTTCTTTCTGATCCAGCCCTTCCCTTTCTGCTCCAGGTGGGGGTCTTCATGGAAGGCCACTGAGGAGAGGGGAAGGGGGAAAGGGAGTGAACGCATATTGGCACACGTATTGTCTCAGGGCGTCCTTGCCAAGATGGGAATGTACCCCTCTTTTGCAGATGAGAA